GCCCCATTTGATTTACATTTTTAACTACAATTTGTTTTCAAAGGTAAACATTTTACATTAACCTGGGTAAAGAAGAAGGAAAAAAATGCTGCCTAAAGTTTGTGGCTATCTTGTGATATTTTAGCAAGTGTCTGTGTGTGTGTGTGTGTTTAATATTTTTCAAAATTTTTACCAATGAATATTACTGCAGTGACATTACAAATCCATGATCCATTTTCATAGTTGTCTGAAATTCCAACTTCTGGACTGTCCATAAGTAAACCAAAGAAATTGGAATCCAGAGGTTTTGTGGCCACTTCCTGGCACACTGAGAGGTCAAGAACATTCCTGGGTCAAACAGCGGCTGGCCACGGTCATGTTGTCAGCTTGCACTATCATGTACCACAGCGGGTGGGCAGGAAAAGCGCCTTGGCCACAGTGGCAGCTCTCCCAACTCCTGGGCCAAAAGGCAGCCACATGGCTGGCAGGTGCCAGGAGTAAATTCTGAATGCACCTCCACAGTGTGGAACAGACAGGGCACCTGTTCCCTACTCCCAGCAAACACACTGGAACTTCCACATCCAGCTTTGGTGCTGGGATGCTGCTAATTTCATTCTGTATAGTAACACCCATCATTGCTAACAGCCTAGAGTTTATCATTTCAGATCAATATTTGCATAAAGATACACATTTTTATGTGTGCTTCCTTGTGAGTGTTATTGTATTCAATATACAATTGTAATATTAGTTACTGCTAGTATTGACAAAGAATATAGCACATATACCTTGAGCAAAGTGTCTTATATGTGTCTTTCATAGTTTAATACTCATGGTAAAAGTATGAATTAATATTGTGTAGTATAAGTGCACAATAAGGAATTGAGAGAGCGGCATAGATAATCAGGAAAAGAGTATAGGCAAAGGAAAATTCCTCCTCTGACATCAAAATGTGTGCTAAAATAAACTGACAAAAACTTTGTATGAGAAAAGACATGCAGTTTAACCCACATAAGTAGAAAAATCACAGGAGTGTGATTACCCAGTAGCTTAAAATTACGAAGTGTCGCTCCCCGTCTTCGTGGAGGAACGACACAGGACCCTGCGCTGTTCTTTCGTCTGCTCGGCCCTCCCCGGGTTTGCTGCTGGTTCTTCCCGGGTTGGCTGCTGTCCCTCCACCTCCGTGGAGGGGCGGGCCCCCTGCCACCTTCCCCACTTCCGCAGGGGAGCGGCACACCGCCGGCCGGCTCTCTCGGGGGCTGCACAGGTGTTCCTCAGGTGTTCCCCTTAGATGTTCCTGGTGCATGTTGTCTCTCTCCTCCTTTATAGTCCTCCTCCGCCAATCCCAACTCGGCTGCCCACACGCCGAGCGCGCTGCTCTCCTCCAATCAGGAGCAGGATCAGCTCCTGGAGGTCATCACTCAAGTTGGCAAGAGGCAGCTGCGTAGAAGCTGTTTTCTCCTCTCCCAGCACCATATTGTGGGAGAGCAGATGCATAGAATAAGTCTTAATTCCAGTAACTTAGTCTAGTCCGAGTTGCTCCTAGTTGCTCCCCACAACGAAGAAACACATAGATCTCTTTTTTCTATGGAGACGGGGAGAATAGGGAATGTGAGGGGAACAGTAAATGATTTTTAGAGAAACTTAGTGGATTTTAGGAATATACAGCGGCCTGAGACAAAGTTTGTTAGGCCTGCAGAGCACACAATGGTTTGTAAATGATTCTCTTTGGGATTGAAATAGTAGACAAAGTGTGTGATAAAATCTGTCCAGGTGAATGGACAGGCTACAGTCTCTCTGCCTGGGATATGAATTTAGTTAATGGACACTTAAAGAAGGGATCGAAGGTTGTTGTTTTCTTCCTGGGGGGGAGGGGGGGTAAGACTTTGAGCTGCTGTAAGCATCTAAGAGTAAAGCCTCTTCCAACATATACTGCTTTCTATATCTCTTTAATTTAAAATAATCAGCTACAAGAGTGCCAGATTTTGGGGGTGGCAGTTCCTGGGATACTTCAAAGGTGTGAAATGCTGCGGTCCTAACAGCAAGCCCATCCTTTCTCCCCACAGATCACGTTTCTCACTATTGTGCCAGATTGTGCACCCATGTGATATTCTGAAGTCTTGGTCATTTTTTGTATCCAGCTTTTTGATTCTTCTATATTTTGTTCTCTTAAAAGTTTTCATTAGTATTTTGTACAGATTGGCCGTAATTACTTTCCCTATACTCCTATTTTTTATATTTCAATATTTTTTATTATTTTTAGTGCAAAAACATTGTTGGAATACAAATGCCTAGACATATAACTAAATCATAATATAAATGTTCTGTGTGAAGGAGATTGATGTGTTCCTTTAAAATCTTTCTAGAACTCTCAAATTGCTTTTGAAATATTCTTACCTCACAAGATGATATTATTATCTTCTGTTCACTTTTCTAGATAAACAGAGAAACATTTTTAAGTGTATATTTATATTCATTTGCCTGAAAGGCTGAGAGAGAGACAGAGAGAGAGAGAGAGAGAAATCTCTTAACTGCTGGTTTATTTCCCAAATGACTGCAACATCCAGGGCTAGACCATGCCAAAGCCAGGCACCAGGAACCCCATCTGGATTTCCCCTATGATTGGCAGGGGCCCAAGTCCTTGAGCCATCCCACTGCCTCCCAGGGAAGCTGGATCAGAAGCAGAGTAGATGGGACTCAAACTGGCACTCCATATGATGCAGCATCTCAAGTGATGACTTAACCTGCTGTGTCACATCACCTGCCCCAGAAACATATGCATGTTTGCAAAATATGAGTCACATCACATATTAATTTTTTTGAATGATTTAACCATTTTTTAAAAGAGTTTACTTAATTATTTGAGAGGTAGAGTTACAGATACAGAGAGGGAGAGACAGAGAAAAGTCCACCATTCGAAGCCAGGAGCTTCTTCCGTGTCTCCCATGCAGGTCAATGCAGGGGCCTAAGCAGCTGGACCATCTTCTACTGCTTTCCCAGGCCATAGCAGAGAGATGGATGGGAAGAGGAGAAGCCAGTACTATAACTAGTGTCCATATGGGATGATGGCGTGGCAGGCGAGGTTTAGCTCACTACACCACAGCGCCAGCCCATAATCAATTTTCCTTTATTCATCATCGTGCTACTTATTGCTTTCCTTACCTGGGCTTTCCAACATATCTGCAACATCTAGAACCAAAAAGGGGCAGAGTTGCCATTGTGGCATGGCAGGTTAAGCCCTGCCACCCATATGGGAGAACCTGATGGAGTTCCAGGCTCTTGTCCTTGCTCTGACCATTGCAGTCATTTGGGGAGTGAACCAATGGATGGAAGATCTCTTTTTCTCTCCTTCTCTGTGTCACTCTGCCCTTCAAATAAATAAATAATAAGTTTTAAAAATTAAAAAGATAATGGGGCCAGTGCCATGGTGCAGTAGGTTAATCCTCTGCCTGCGGTGCCAGCATCCCATATGGGTACCAGTTCTAGTCCCGGCTGCTTCTCTTCCAATCCAGCTCTCTGCTGTGGCCTGGGAAAGCAGTGGAAGTTGGCCCAAGTGCTTGGGCCCCTGCACCCACGTGGGAGACCAAGAGGAAGCTACTGGCTCCTGGCTTCATATCGTCGCAGCTCTGGCCACTGCGGCCATTTGAGGAGTGAACCAATGGAAGAAGACCTTTCTCTCTGTCTCTTCCTCTCACTGTCTGTATCTCTACCTCTCAAATAAATAAATAAAATCTTTAAAGCAATTAAAAAGAAGAAATTAAGGGCTCCAAATCAACCCACAAACACACAAAAAATAAATACAACTAATGAGGGATACACAATTCAAAAGAGAAGGCAAGGACTGATGATAGGGAGCACTGTTGAGGAAGAGATTTGAGGATTTTTTGTTATGTATAGATTGCTATAATTAGGGCGTTGCCTATGTGTGATATGACCATGTTTTGAGTATATTTTCAAATGTATGGTAGATTCTAATGTGGGCAGACCAAGACTCTTCAAAGTTCAAGAATATCTGGGATTAAAAATCATAGTATTAAAAAAATATTTGCACGGGGGCAAGTACTTGACCTAGTGGTTAAGGCACCTGCATCCCATATTGAGTGGATTCAGCACCTGCCTCCAACTCCTGACTACAACTTCCTGCTAATGCAGACCCAGGGAAGCAGTGATGGTGACCCGAATAATTTGGTCCCTGCCATTCACTCCTGACTGAATTCCAGGATTTGGCCTTAGGGATTTGAGGAGTGAACCAATGTATGGGAACTCTTTTTCCCTCCCTCTCTCTCTTCCTTCCCTTTCTCCTTCCCTCCCTCTCTCTCTTCCTTCCCTTTCCCCTTCCCTCCCTCCCTCCCTCCCTCCATTCCATCCTCCCTCCCTCCCTTCCTTTCCTTCCTTCCTTCCTTCCTTCCTTCCTTCCTTCCTTCCTCTCCTTTCTCCTTCTCATATAAATATATTTAATTAAAATAAAAATAAAAAAAAACGGAATATCTGCGTGGACCCAGAATCCTGGTTTCTGTTTCTTCATCCTCAGCATGTAACCTTTCTTTTCATTCTCTAATTCTGGTTGATGGAACAAAGATTCTACTCTTAGCCAAATATTTGTAAAGTTCCTGAACCTTCTCCTAGATACATCCATGCACTGCCTTATAAAATCTGTCTTTAAGAATAATTCTGAAAAATCAGTTTAACAATAATTTTCCCCATCCTTGATAGATGATCAAGTTCTTTAACCACCTCCAAGTAATATCTGATCACCTTGGCCTATCTTCAGCAATAATCCCATTAGGACATTTTAGCCAGAATCCTTCTTCCTCCTGTTGTCACCTCCTATGATTTTTCCACCCATTGCCCTCTATCTTGTTCCTTAGTTAAATTTCCCATTTTGCCATGCTATATTCATAACTGGGCCCAATCTCTCTGCTTGACTGCAAAACCCCATTGCTATGGTCCCTATACTTATTATAAATGAAGTTGTCTTTATCGTGCTTTAGCAAGTATTGTTGAATATTCTTTTTCTTTTACAGATAGTTTGAAGAAAGGAATTTAGAGTTCCAAAAATTTCCACAGGGTTGTCAATTTCGTGGGGGCACTTTTCCAGGTAAGGATTGTCTCTGTTCCTTTTTCATTCCTGACACTAGAATTTTGGGTTCAGTGTAGGGTTTAGCCATTTTCTTCAGGAGAGACCCACATGTCAATATGCCAAGACACACTTTGTGAGTATGACTTTAAATAGGATTGAACATGTAAAGTGAATTCAAATATTAGCAATAATTTTATTCCATATGCATTTACCCTATTCATGTTTCAAAAAATCATTATTGTAGATTTATATTTCAAATATTGGATATTTGCAAACTGAAACTAACTGTGGCACATACCTTGGTTGGGATCCTACCTGGCAAGTGGCAGGACTGAGTTAAGAAATGACACAGAGGCCATCAGGAATCATAGAGGCTTTGCCTACAGTACAATGCTAGATCTCACTGTGGTATTAGGAGGCACTAAACCTTCTTTTGCAAGGTTGTGTTGAATTTGCCTTTGATAAGACACATTGTGTGGGGAGCAACTGGGAGCAACTCGGACTAGACTAAGTTACTGGAATTAAGACTTATTCTATGCATCTGCTTTCCCACAATATGGCGCTGAGAAGGGAAACAGCTTCTACACAGCTGCCTCCAGTTCAACCAATAAACTGTGGGACCTGCTCCTGATTGGAGGAGAGCAGCGTACTCGGCATGTGGGTAGCAGAGTTGGGATTGGTGGAAGAGGACTATAAAGGAGGAGAGAGACGGCATGCACCAGGGAACATCTAAGGGGAACATCTAAGGGGAACACCTGTGCAGCCCCCGAGAGAGCCGGCTGGCGGTGTGCCGCTCCCCTGCGGAAGTGGGGAAAGTGGCCAGGGGGAACCGCCCTTCCATGGAGGTGGAAGGGACGGCAGCCAACCCAGGAAGAACCAGCAGCAAACCCGGGGAGGGCCAAGCAGACGAAAGAACAGCGCAGGGTCCTGTGTCGTTCCTCCACGAAGAGGGGGAGCGACAACATTGTATTAGTCTGTTTTCTGTTCCTATAACAACATACTTGAAGCTGGGTAAAATATAAAGAAAAGAGGTTTATTTAGCTCATAGTTCTGAGTATTCAATAGCATGGCATCAGCATCTGCTCAGTTCTGGTGAGAGCTTCATTTGTGGCAGATGGCATTGAGACAAGAGTGCATATGAAAGGGTTGAGAGCAGTCATACTGAAATACAGTAATCCAGACACCAGGGAGGGGCCAATCTTTCTTTTTTACAACAACCTACTCTTGTAAGAATTCATTCATTCCAAGAGACCAACATTAACACTTTCAGGAGATAATTTCCCCAATGACCTGATACCCTCCAATTGGGTCCTACCTCTTAAAGGCCCCACTACCTCTTAACACCATAACATTGTGTACCAACCCTTGGAGAACAAACCATATCCAAACCATAGCACACATCTGAGAGATTATAGATGTCAGGAGAGAGTTTATACAACTATGCATAATCATCTTGGAAAACAGTAGATAATTTATTTTGGAATAGAATATAAGCAATTTTTTTTAAGATTTACTTTAGAGGCCAGGTTGATGGTAAAGAATATGCTATCACTATTTTAAGGGTAAGTAACAACACTAGAATTTCACTCTTTATATAAGACTGAAAGAACAATTATAAGATTGTAACATTCCCCTATTTTATATAGGTTAATTATTTTAAATTATGAGAAGTAGCATTATTATCATCAGAACTGAAACTGTATTTCCACTTTACTTGAATCTGGTCAAAATATTTATTTTTATGTTAACTGCGTCCTGGAGATTGAATTTTTTTAACTTTTATTTAATGAATATAAATTTCCAAAGTACAGAAT